AGCCGCAGTACAGTAATATACCTTCCAGGTAATGGTACAAAGCAGTTGGTTGTCCTTTTCTCTCCCTCCTGAGTTGTATAATTTGCTAGCCAAAGCAACCACGTTCCATGTTTGTTATTATGACCTCAGAGCCAGCACATCTTGTACAACCTAGGTGGGTCAGTGATTGGGCCCTGACATCATCATCTTTGGCTGTGCGCAGGTGGGGGCCATGGTGCAGAGTTGTAAAGGTTCACTCAAATGTTTTTCTTTCCTTAGCAGCTACACTTATTATCTTTGGAATATGGTACATTCATTCTCAGTTGAGAACACCAACAGATTTGTCTTGCCTGGGATAGTTGCTTTCAATAATGTTTTTGGATACATTTAAATGTAGAGAGTGACCTCTCTGCAGCAGCCACTGTTACAGGTGTGGTTAGAAAAAGTAGGCAGGCAGCACAAACTTCAGTGAAATTTGAAGAAATAGCATGTTTTTCTATTCTATTTTGTTCATGCGGTATTCACACTCAGTCAGTAGAACCACCTGACCTGATCTTTCATGTCAATATCTTCCATCCATAATCAGAGGAAAAACTGGAACTTCCATGACATTTTTATAGATATATTTTTAATTGCATCTTGACAGAATTAGAAAGAAAGCTAAGTTCACTCTATATGTCGGATACTTGATTATTCCATATTTAAGAGCCATAGTGGTGCAGTGGTTAGAATGCAGTACTGCAGGCTACTTCTGCTGATTGCCGGCTGGCAGCAGTTTAGCAGCTCAATTCTCACCAGCTCAGGGTTGACTGAGACTTCCACCCTTCTGAGATTGATAAAATGAGGACCCAGATTGTTGGGGGCAATATGCTGACTCGGTAAACCATTTAGAGAGGGCTGTAAAGCGGTATATACTGTAAGTCTGTTATTGCTATTGCTATTAACAACTTGTCCAGAAGATACAACAAATCATATTTTACAAAAAGAGTGATTACAGAGAGTAAATTTTCACAGAATCCATGTGAAATGTATTATTCTGACTATAACCTCTAAGGGGAAAAAAAGGAAATAGGTCCCTGTGGATATAACCAACTATAGGGGGCAGCGGTCATCTCTGTTTCAAGAGCTGTTGGGACAGTGGTGTCCGAAGACATTTCTGTGGTCATGAGGTCAACATGACCTTATGAAGCACTGTTTCCTCCCATTGAAGTGATAACCTCTAAAGAGCAAGTTAAAATGAACTGAGATCATGGTGAGACTGATCGTTCTATCAAGCATCTGCCTCTAAAAAACTTTGAGCAATTTATTCTAGGTTCTAGAGGAGCTTGGCTTGCAAATCAGGAGTGACAGGGATCTGATGCTTCAAGATTCCAAATTTTTCTTTTTAAGTGAGGTTAGCCACAAGTATTAATCACCTAACCACTCATTCTGTTCCCTAGTTGAAAAAGCCAATGTGCTGGGTGATGCATTTAATCTTAGAAGACCAGAGCTACTCTTGTTGGACTTGCACCCCAGATTTGTTTTATGGTTAAATAATCAGATTCTCTTATCACTTTCCCTTTGAAATGGACCAGGTGGATGGTCTATTTACGAAACCCCCAACAGCCACAGATTCATTAAAATGAGCTCTGTCTGTAGAAAACAAGAGAAAGCTCAATGTAGCATCAGCATCACTGTTGCCCTCGTGGCTTCTTACTGAAGAGGCATGTACTTTGTTTTGGTCAGTAACAGATGGTATAAGTAGTTGTCTGAGATTCAAAGGGTCCCTTTCAGAAAAACAAACTAACGTTGGGGAGTTCTACTGGTTTCTCTTCCTGCCTGTTTTCTGTTTTCACTTCTGAGCACACTATAAAAGTTTTTCAACTTCTTTCCACTGCTACTTGAAGTTGTCATTTTAAAATGGTTTAGATGACCATCCTTGAGTGTCTCAGAATGGAAGGTTTCTATTCCAACCCTCAAAACCTTGAAGGAAGTTTATTAACTGCATGTTGTTCCATGCCATAGCCAATAAACTATTTTTATATTATCATCATGATCATGATCACCATTATCATTATTTTACATTGAAGATTGCATGTTTTTCAATCCCAGTTAAATGTTTATTTAATAAATTATGGTTAAACAACTCATGACTTAATGTAATGTGGGAATCCAGTATTAATTTTAATGGCAATTTATATTAAATGCAGCCAAATTAAGAGAAAAGCCTATGGTATTTGTCTACCTGTGGATATAAAATACCTAATAGATGTAGGAGCAAATGGACGCCTTAGTCCCCCAGAAAGCTTCCCTTTGTTAGCTAAGCTAAGTCTTCCTGTTCCAAAGATATACCAAATAATTGTACTAAGAAAAAAAATTAAACATGAATTACAAGGACAACATGAGTAAATTGATATTTGTGAGAATGAGCAGCTTCCTTTGCTTTTATCAGATGAGGATAAATTTATCAATTGGTATTTAAAGTTTTGTCAAGGGAGGTGAACATGGCATATTTACATGGACTATGTCTTTTATTAAGTATTAGAATTTTATCAAAAAAAAATCCTTACAAAATTGAGGAAAAACAGTATAAAAAGCATTGGTTGGAAAAACCAGAATTTCTCTGGTTTAGCAAATGTTCATGAAAATTGGAAATTGTACCCTTTTCTGTTAGCTAATGGAAAAAAATCTATACCAATCTTCTTGGATGACCTTCAATAAAGTCAGAACATTATTCTTTATAGAAGGTAATCAAAGAGTTTACTGCACTGATTTAATAACTCCTTTAACATTGCTAAAAGAATTCCAGCTATGACTGCAGAACTTGTCCTAACTAGAGATTTTTTTAAAAAAGAAAGCTAAAACAGAAATATACATAAAAATATTAAAGCACTTTTAATATTTAAAAAAACCCAATAGCTTTCACATTTATCCTTCAACTTTATGCTACTTGTTGACATGCAGTTTTATATTTTCAATTTGTGTGCGCAGTTTGTTTCTTTTTAAAAAAGAAAAGGATTGCAAAATGTTGACTACAGATCTGCATTTGTTACCACTGCTAATATATACTACAAACTTATATGCACACATAAAAGAAAAAATAAGACGAAAAATCTGCCATGCTATATTTCACATTATTTTTTAAAAACATAATGCAATTACCAGAAAGAGACTGTAACAGGTTCTGATAAGATCTTATTGCAAAATATTTTAAATTATCAAAATGCTTTCTGAGGCAGAAATCCTGCTTTTGTCTGGCACTTTTTCTTGTGCTCTTACTCTAATGATACATGTTCAATTACTGCAGAAAAGAAAAGAATCAAATCAGAAACATGTGTAGTTTGCCATATAATTACTGATTCTTCCCCATGGTGACTGACCTTTGTAAGACCAATACCAAGACCTGAAAGGCTAAAATGATAGATATTCACAAGGTTTAAAACATATAACATAATTACAAAGACTTAAAGCGGGCATGACATAAGCTTGGACCTTAGGTTTTTGCAATTTATGTCTGAACCTAGAATGTAGTAGCTGGATTTATTCAGAATGAGGGTAATTCACAAGCATTGGAATGCAATGTTTCATTGTATAATAAAGGTAAACATCACATTTCAGCCTATTATACAACCATTACTTTTACCTGTAATATCAATCTTTTCTAGGAATTTTTTTTTTTGTTACTCTCATCTTCAAACCAGCTTGTGATTTTTGTATGTGAACACAAACAATAATGAAACACATTTCAAACTCACAGTGATCAGACTACTTTGTTTTCTTTTCAAGTCCCATTCCCTTTACTTTTTCATTTTTGTTATCTCTTGTTTATTGATCTAAACTGTCCATTACAGTTCTTTACAAAAGATACTACTGTGAACTTTAGTAAAATACGTTGTTACTCTCTTTGTTTATTTGCCAAAGAAAACAGCAACTGTATCTTGGGTCTCTGTATTTAAAGTCAGCAAAAACTTGCCAGCAAACTTAACCAACTTGGCTATTAATCCTAAAAGAATACACAAAGACACAGGCACAGACATACACAGAAACTAAATCTAGGTAATTATTTTAAATCACTGCCTCTCTTTTAATGATAGCAATAGCGCAAGCGATAGCATCTAGACTTATATACCACTCCATAGTATTTTACAGCACTCTCTGAGTGATTTACAACATTAGCATATTGCCCCCAATAATCTGGGTCTTCATTTTGGAAGGATGGAAGGCTGAGTCAACCTGAGCCGGTCAGGATCAAACTCCAGGCTGTGTAGAATTAGCCTTAATATTGCATTCTAACCACTGCGCAACCAGTGCTCTTAAAATGATAAAATTCTACTAAAATAAACAAAGTATGATTCCTTAGGAGTACTATGTAAAAGAGTCTACAGATAGTCCTCGAGTTATGATCATTTGTTTAACAAATATTTGAAGCTACGATGGTGTTGAAAAAAGTGATTTACAATTGGTTCTCGCATTTACAATCATCGAAGTATCCCTTGGTCACATAATCAAAATTTGGGTGCTTAGCAACCTGTATATGTTTACAACAGTTGCAGGTCCCAGAGTAATCACCATTTGATATCTTCCAGAGGTTTCCAACAAGCAACGTCAATGGTGGAAGCTGGATTTGCTTAATTATTGTGTGATTTGCTTAACGATTGCAGCAAAAAAGGTCATAAAATGAGGCAAGACTCACTTAACAACAGCATCACTTAGCAATGGAAGTTCCTGTCCCATTTTTGGTTATAAGTCAAGGACTACTTGTACTTTCTAATGGCTTGTTTCCTATAGCCTTTGCTAAGCACGTCACCACCTTTCACTTCTAAAATTATTTCCTTCAGTAGATAAATTTATCATAAAATCCAACAAAAACTTTTCTAAGTAAGAGTCTTTTCTTCTAAAATGGAAATTATTCAGTTTCTTCTTTGCTAACAAATTACAAATATATTTCTAAGTCTTTGTTCTTCAATGTTTCTATGCAAAAATATATGTAACATATTTTACAGAATATTATTTTCTGTTCTCTCTATATTCTGAATTTTTACCTTGCTTTTCTGGGCTATTTTCTGCTTGTGAATTATAGGAGGTTTTATCACTACAGGAAAATGATCTGTCTTCACAATCTTCTACAAAGTCTTTCAACACTGGAGAAGTCTGAAGCAAAAGAAATAAAACAGTATTTTTAAAAATATTCTAATATTTTTGCAGAATTATAATGCAAATTCTGAAATGAGCTTCTCTCAGCTCCTGCCTTAATATATTTTGAAACTAATTAACTAATACACATTGCATTATTTTTTTATGAGTATGAGAATTCTGAAAATTGAGATCGCATTATTACTGCTCTTTTAGTAAGTATACAAGTCCCTCAGATCAGTTGCTTATCAAAGACCTTATATTAACAAAATTCATTCGTTTTAGGCCTATGCAAATTGTTTGCCAAAGCATGCCTCAGAATCCATTCCTCAATGTTGGGAAGCAGCTCAGAGATCCTCCTGAAGAATTACTTTGGCAGCTGGACAGAATAAGAGTCACCCGTGCGTACACAGGCATGTGCAGAATATTCTGATGAAACAAACATACCATGTTTTCAAATAACTTCACCTACTCTGTGGGTTCATAGAACACTTGAATAATGTGCATAGAACTATTCCAGATCAGTAAAATGCTTTTTATTAATTGATACCAATGTCTGAGTCTGAACATTCGTGAGATGCTTGGAATATTCTGGTTTCCAGAAAAGTTAGTAGTAGCCCTAGAAAAAGGCAAAAACTAACCATTTCTGCTAAGAGATGTAAGCAAATGCAACCATTTACTATGTCAACAAGATCTTCTTCAAAATGAATACAGTTCTGGTATTAGCCCTCTTGTATTTTCTGAATTGTTGCATATTATTGCAGAATGCCACCAAAATGATAGCGGCAGTAATGATGTTACTAGTCTCTCTCTCTCTCTCTCTCTCTCTCTCTCTCTCTCTCTCTCGTAACATTTGCTGCTTGTTTTATTTATTTCATAACAAAGTCATCTACTGAGCAATGTGCCTATATGAAAAAAGCAACTGTTCAATCAAAGCCATTAAAATGATAACTAGGGCAGTTGTGTGGGTATTTTTTTAAATAATGAGGGCAAAGACAACCTTGCCTGATATAAATCTCTCAAAATCTGGCTCTTTTTGCCACAGTGATGTACTCATCACACAATATATCATATCCCACTCAAAATGAATTTCTGAAGATATCTTCATTAATGACTAAGATGAGGTAATAGAAGGGGAACTCATCAAATTCACAGATGATACCATGTTTCTCCGAAAATAAGACCCTGTCTTATATTTTTGGAACCCTGAAATAAACGCTTGGCCTTATTTTCAGGGAGGTTTATTATTTTGGAGTGTGTGGAGCAAGACAGGGCTCATCTTGCCGTCTTACCTGATTTCCAGCTCTGTCTACCTAACCCTAACCAGAGGAAATGGTGGGGACCAGTTGTGCATGCATTTAAATATTTTCAGGAAGGGCTTATTTTTGGGGAGGTCTTATTTTCGGGAAAACATGGTAATAAATAGGTAGGAAAAGCCAACACCCAGAAGACAACCTCAGGATCCAAAAAGTTCTTGACAAACTTGAACAATAGGCCCTATCCAGCAAAATGAATTTTAATCTGGACAAAAGCAAAGTTTTACATTTAGGCAGGAAAAATCAAAGGTATAAGTACAGATTAGGTGAGACCTGGCTCAAAAACAGTAACTGTGAGAGGGACCTTAGAGTCCTAGTGGATGATCACTTTTGCAGTATGCAGCAAAAGCCAAAAAAGCTAATACAATCCCTGGTTGTATAAACAGAGGCATAGACTCAAGATTACATGAAATATTAGTGCCGCATTATAAAACCAGGTGAGACCACACCTGGAATACTGCAACCAATTTTGGTCACTATACTACAAAAAGATGTTGAGACTTTGGAAAAAGTTCAAAGAGCAACAAGGAACTGGATAAAAGGCCTGGAGATTAAACCATAAGAACGGCTGCAGATTTTGGCCTCGGCTAGTCTAAAGAAAAGAAGAATTAGGGATGCAAGGACAGCAGTATTCCAGTATTTGAGGGGTTGCCACAAAGAAGAACGGGTCAAATTATTATTCAAAGCACCAGAGGACAGAACAAGAAACAATGGTTGGAAACTAATCAAAGAGAGAAGCAATTTGGAGTTAAGGAGAAACTTCCTAACAGTGAGGACAATTAACCAGTGGAACAGCTTGCCTTCAGAAATCGTGGGCACTCCATCACTGGAGGTTTTTAAGAAGAGACTAGATAGTCATTTGTCTGAAATGATATACTTTAGGTTCTCCTGCTTGAGCAGGGGATTGGACTAGAAGACCTCCAGGGTTCCTTCCAGCTCTATTCTATTCTAGATTTCTAGATTCACATTAAAAAAGTATGTGATGCCTAATTGTCTTGAAATTAGATATAATCCTATTTCTAAAGTTCTACGACTTAATTGGTCCAGGAAAATGGAGATTTAAAATTATCTCTTCTCAAGAATAGCTGTCCTGTCAAAATCATTCCAAAAGAATGGACAAAGAAGTCCATAAGGAAGTTCAGATCAATGGGATCCTTTTATCCTGGCTAAAGTTAATATTTGTGATTTCACTATCTGAAAAACACTGCATATAAAAGGATTCATGAGAGAATAGGAAAGGGAAAACTATTGTACACGAAGCACATTGTCTCAAATTTTCTAAAAATGTGCCTCCAGGCTTCTGTGGGAAATTTTTGTGGAAAAATAAGTCAAATATAAAACTTTTCACGCTCTGGGGGATCATTATGTCTGATAGAAACCAAGCATGCATTTCACTATAAAATATCCAATAGTCAAAAATGAAAGTATCAAAGGGATATTTTGCTTTCTCAGACGATTTGATATTGGCAAAAACATGAAGTCAACTTTTCATTAGATTATTTTATAAGACAATATGTTTGCTCACTGAAACTGAAACACAAGTGGCTCATGCACCAATTCAGTATTCACTAACAAGCAAACAAAAGGAACATCTGAGGAACTTTGGAGTTTTGTAATGGCCAAATCAATGTTCAGGCTTAAATCCCAGAGAAACGCTGTCAGAACCTGAAATAGGTTTGCTAGAAAATTCTTAAAACTTCCCTGAGTTGAAGACGTTTGCCACATATTGGGACAACATTTTTTACATAGTGATGTAAGAGATCTATCAATAAAGACAGGAAATGTTACAGTGCTGTATTTATTACATCCTAAGATGATACAACTACTTACTGAACAAGAAGGAAATTATGTTTTATTTTTATTTTTTCCTCTTTATTACATTGTTATAAATCTTGATACACTGTAGTATTTTAATAAAATAATTTTATATTACCGTATTTTCCGGCGTATAAGACGACTTTTTAACATATGAAAATCTTCTCAAAAGTCGGGGGTCGTCTTATACGCTGGGTATCGTTCTCCTGTAACCAGGCAGACCAGCCCGAAAGGCTCTGATGAGCCTTAAATGGCTCTGGCGATCCAAGCTCTGACGATCCCAGCTTTGCCTGCTAATCAGGCAACGCAGCTGGGATCGCCAGAGCCCTGTAAAAGGAAAAAAGTTTTCCCCCTCCAGCTTGCTTACCTTAGCTGCGAGTCACAACGCTTGCCTTGCTTCGCTTGCCTGAATCCATTCCATCAGCAAGCCACTCCCTGCCTGAAATCAAGCAGGCAGGGAGTTGTGGACTTCAACTCCCAGAATTCCTCAGCCAGCTTTGTTTTGCTGGCTGAGGAATTCTGGGAGTTGAAGTCTACAAGTCTTAAAGTTGCCAAGGTTGGAGACCCCTGTTCTATTGGGTAAGTTTTTTTCCCCTTTGGGATCTTTAAAAAAAAATAGTTAATTGGGTTTTTTTTTTAGTTGTTCTTTTTTAGACCTAGCCATTTAAAGTTTAGGAAGTTTTAAATTTAGTTTTCATATAAAAATAAAAATAAAATAAAATAAAATAATATTTGTGCAGCTTTCTGAGATTTAGTGTGTTTCTGTAGTGTTTCACTCTAACTACACAAACACAAAAAATCTCACAAAGCTGTATGTGGAATTTTGTGTGTGTAAAGTGTGAAAGTTGTATTTTTGGGCTTTTTGTGGCTGTGTGAGGTTCCTGCTTGTTGTAGGGGCCATTTTGGGTCTAGCACAGCTGCTTTTACATTGTAGGTGAGCCAGTTGATGTTTTTTAATTTTTATTTGGTGTGCGTTGGAAGAGGGGTAGTCTTATTCGGCGAGTATAGCCCAAACCCTATATTTTAACAGGAAAAGTCAGGGGTCATCTTATACGCCCAGTTGTCTTATACGCCAGAAAATATGGTACTGTATAATATGAAATATTAGTGACTTTTATTAGATAACTTAGAATATTGTAAATATTGCAAATACAGAAAATATTCTATAATTCTTAATTACAATTTAGGATATCAATATTAGAAGCACTAAAATCATTTGGCTTTTTCATACAAAATTGAATGTAAGATTAAAAAAAAACTTGCTGCAGTTTACGTCTAAGTATTTAGTTAAAGGTTTTCTGGGAAATTATGTTTTCATTTCAGTACCTCATATGTCAGATAACTTTGAATTAAATGAAATAAAGACCAATCTGAAACGCTAATAACATTCAGTGACAAGAATATGCAAAAATGTTTTATCTCCTTAAGTTTTAGAAATTGTTTTATATCTTCCTTCAAATTAATGCATGTAAGCATTCTGACTGGTTATCGATTAGCAATCAGGACATTCATGTTTTAGAAAATAATCAGCAGCTAGATACCAAAAAAGCCTTTTTAGCAACCACATTACATGATCTATATGTAAAATTACTGCTATACAGTACACACAGAGATATAATTCCTTCATCTGAAAATCATTCACCAGGTGTCATTCCCTGGCATTACTCAAACATACAGGAAGTTAGGAAACATACTGACCGGGCTTTCTTGTTTATGCCTCTCCAAAATCAATAGGGTACCAAACATGTCTTTCACTTCTTGTCTGAGTAAAATGTGGTGCTTTTGCAAGAATAAGATATGTTTGCTTAAACGTTCCCAAATCTTAGTAAAATAAGATGCCAATTCAGATCTAGACAAAACAGAAAAAAGGTTTTCATTTAAAATGCTTAAAAAACAGCTAGGTTGGCATGAGATATTGTTTATATAGAACTGAAATATGGAATAATTCCAGAGTGACAAACTTTTCTTTCTGCTTTCATCAGCCTAGAGGGATGGAATTATTTGAGATCAGACTTTATTTTATTTTAATATTTTTGATCTCTTATTAGACTTCGTCTTTGTTTCTTTTATTAAACTATATTGTTTTCATTAAAATAACTTTTCCAATATATATTAATTATAGAAAAATGAAATTAGATTGATTTGGTCATTGAGATGTTTTGTGCTTTTACAGTAGTTTTTTTCTCCCCTATTTTTTTGTGTGTTATAGTGTAAATTGCCAAAATTCACCTTCTGAGTTTGGCAGAATATAATAAAGACAATGCACACAAAAAAGGCCATGTTTAGCAAAAACTGAATTCAGAGTTTTACCATTCACTTAATAGCTAATGTAATCCAGTTTGCAATCTGTAGTTGATTTATTATATCTTTTGGTGTCTTCTCAAGAGTCCTAATATGAGTTTTTCAAGGCAGTCCAGGCCAGAAACATAATCAGGAGCATCAGCATGATCTTTACTGTAAAATTACATTAAACAGAATCTTACAAGACTGAAAATATTTCTCCCATCCTCTCTTTTTAGTTACCAATAAACTAAAGGGGTCGATTTTGAAACATTCCCCATGTTTTCCCCCCACCTGTAGTTGCCTCTTATCAGATGTTGTCTAAGCTGCGGGTCTTCCTCCTGTCTCCCAAGGTCATTCCCACATACCATCACACCTGAGAACATTATTCATTAAGGTATTTTGACACGTTATTTTGGATTCAATATATAATTCAAATGACTAGAAATATCATACTTTATCCTTTAAAAGTTGAACAATGTTTAAAGAGGCAAAATAGCTGGGAATTGAAACTGGTTCTTATTGAACAGGGGTGCTTATTGAGAGAGGCCATGGGGCTGGCCTGGAAATATCAAAGAAGCACCTCACGGTGCCTCTGCCGGCCAAAACGGGCCACACGGAGGCCCTGCGAGGCCCCTGTGTGGCCTGTTTTTGGCCTCCCCGGCCTCCAGCAGCACTCTGTCAGCTAAAAATGGGCTGTGCAGGGCATCTGCGCAGCCCGTTTTTAGCCAGCAGAATGCTGCAGGAGGACTGGATTGGACTGGATTACAATTATGTGGCCTCAAGTAAGTGCCTGATCTGGATAGAAAACAAGCAACATCCTATGTTAATACTACAGTTTAATGCCAGATTTTACATACTGTAGGTCCATTTAAACTACAATCAACAATCTATAATTGACAGCCATTTCTATTTACTATCTTGGAAATTTACCTCTGATGTTAGATCTCGTATTATCATGTTATTTATGTTATTGTATTTTTATTATTAGTTGAATAATAAAAATACAATAGTATAAATAGCTTTTCTGCCTGGAAAAGCAATTTACTATTAAACAATGGGATATAAATTTAGAAATAAAAAGTTTAGTGGAATATGAAGAATAAATGTTTGCCAGTAATATCTGGTAAAAGAGATAGGAAAATGATTATAGTAAAGAACTGTGGAAAGAAATACAGGAAAAAAATGCATCTTGAGACTGTGTCAAATGGCCACCATGGCCACCCCCACCATGAAAATGCATTCAAACTAATTCAGGAACATGGATAGATGGAGGACAATTAGGACAGAATCTCTGAAATATTTAGTATTAATCAAATGTATATGGTCGTCCATCTCACTGAAACAACTCTTAGCAGCGTACCACAATCCAAATTTTCTTCCCTCAGCTCCCACCTGTGGGCTGTGCTATCTCTTCATGCACATTGAACTCCTCCCATCTGTTTCTCACAATCTCTCACATGAGTCTATTTGAGGGGAACTATTTGTGCATTAATGTATTTGAGGGAGTTTTATGTGTTAAAAGTAGTAGGCTAGTAATAGGTTGTGTATGCGTGTGTGTTTACCTATGTACATGCTGACAGATGCACTGCCAAAAGCCTAAGTTAACACTTTATGTATTCTCAGCTACCCTGGTGTTAGCTATTGCTCTGCTTACTATCTAAGGTTTCTTTTTCCTATCCATCTCTTTCCTTTTAAAGCTCCTATTCTAAACATTCTTACCTGGGAATAAGTCTCACTGAATTCTTAAACCAAAGTAAACATGTACAGGATTGTTTTATAAAACATACTTAATTTCTATATTTTGAATAGTTAAACTATAACCTGATGCATGCAACTCTCTTGAAGTGCTTTGATTTCATATCATATACAGCCTGTGACTTATAAGAATAATGGATCTGTGAACATTAAGTGATCATACCTGCTTTGTTCTTCATTCAGTCTTTCCTTTTTGTCATTAAGCATTTTATCTTGTAAAAGGCATCCATTCATTGTATTTTGCAATAATTTCTGAAGTTGATAAAGGACAAGCGCTTCACATGCCTCAAAGTTTTCTTGTGCCAAGTTGCCACCTTTATTACAGAGGCTATAAATGAAATCATGTACTTAAAAACAGGTAATTTATATTTTATCAATGAAATTTAAAACACTATTAATATATTGATCAAATATGAATAGGTCAAAGTATATGCCTGCACCAACTTCTTCACCTGTAGCATCCTGAGAACCAAAAAAACTTTGATTGCACATCTGATAATTGATATGTTACCCAGCTGAAATCACAGAAATAACTGTGACACACAGTTGGATAAAATAAAAGGGTTTGGGGAAGAATGTGATAGGCCATTTAGGAAGTCCGTTTTCATATTCAGCATTTCTACTCACTACCTCAAGCTAGAGTATGAGCCTGCAATGCCAACATTGTCAAGTGTGAAGAATATATGCATAATTCTTTCAACATTCCTAGGAGGAATGAGGGGAAAAAAAGAGTTCTGGATTAGGATGTGGCCAATAAAAACATTCTGGGTCTGACTTGTAACCTACCGAAATAAATCAGAATAATGAAAACAATTTTTTAAAAATATATTAATGAGGAATCAATTATTTTAAAACAAATTGTTCCTACAACGCTGTTATAAAGAGATCTTAGCCACAGAGTACTAAAATAATCTGTGGCCATTCCAAAAAGAAGAATATTTATCTTAAATAGAAGGCAAAGTTACTAAGTGTTATAGTGAGCTCCCAAATTTGGGAGGGAAGTGAAAGGTGCCACACTAAGTCTGTGGTTTCCTATCTTCCTCCAGTTTAACAAAACAAAATAATATTGCTCTTTCTCCAAAATCAATAATAATTATTGAAGTCTCTTTTGAGAGCTCTAATCACTTGAACTCCATTTAATATGAACCCTGAAGTACACAATGTGTGCCTCATTGTTAAAATATCTCCTTTATATTATTCTTCCAAACAGACCACTTGGAAATGAGAACAATCCAGGATTTTTGTGGTGGAGCATTAATCTGAAGTAAATTCAAATGGAGTTATTAACGCCACAATCTGAATAGTTATATAGATAGCATTCTCACATTTCACATTAAATGAAACTAGCCATTGACCTTATAAGCTTCTCTAGTTCTGCTGTATTAGCAGTTCCACTCTGGTATAATGCCGAGTATCCAGAAGGTACTTTGGCCACCAGTTCTTCTATGAAAGTTAAGACATGACAAAATCCTTCAAGTGACAGGCATTCCCTGCAGAAATAAGGAAAAAATGCATTTCATGCAGTAGTAAGAACACATTGTTTAACTATCTACTAAAATATTGATATTAAAATACAGCATATTAAAATAAATGGGGAAGTAGAAGCACTTTTGCTGTATTTCATTGTATATATATGCCTTCTCTGGATTATACCAAGAAGCACTGAGCTAAAATACTGAAAATACTTTTTCTCGTTCCTTTTTTGGTGACATTTAGATAGGGATATAAATGTTGTATGAGGCAGCATTATCATATTGTGTAGGGTTTATCTTCAAAAGCAGCAATCAACAAAGCAGAGATAAGAAATTTGCAATGTGAAGCTGGCATCATATATATTGGGAATTCCTAAATGTCAAAGAAAAAAAAAAGAATGAGACATACAACCTGAATCAACCATAGCTCAAGTTTTCATGTCAGGATTGTATATTATAAGTTTGCAGAATTCATGCAACTAGTAAAACACTGTCCTGGTTTGGTGTATAAAAAGTGAATCTGTTCTGCTAGACTATTGTAACACAAATAATTTATCATATGATGCTTATTTCTATGTATAACATGATTAGCAAAGAAACTTAATAAATTTTAGGGCCAAATTTGGCCAATAATGCAATGGTATTGCAAACTGTGGTTGACGCAACTCAGTATTTGGCTATTTCTAATTTAAAACAACCAAAAAGTATGATAATATATGAATGGAAACGGCTAATGGATCCCTACAGGTGGAAAACATAACTCCGATTTATGGGGAATTATAATAATGGGATGCCTCTATAATGATGCAAATTAAGATTTAAGCATTTTAACAATGGAGTACTGCTAATCCTTTTATAGAGGTGTAAATAGCTATTCAGATTTTTATTTCAGTCTGCCAGCTTTGTTCCAGCAAAACTCTATAAAGCACACACACAGCTGGCCTATAAATATAGTACCAAAACAATATTCAGAGATCCTACTAAGCTTCTAAAATATTTACAACTTTAATGCATAGTGTGCACGATTCACACAGCACTGTAAAACATTTAAGTTATTGAAAATGATTGTAGTGCATTCCCATAAGTGTAATGGTGAACACTGAAAAATGAAGGTGGTGTGGGAGTGAAGTTTTGAGTCTTAAACTAATACACACTGAACCAGTAAGAACACACAGGCAGTTCAACAGGGCTTTTCATTGCACTGAAGTCTTACAAAATCTCTATTTCAGCTAGGTCATTCCCTATTGTGCTCCTCCCTCTGGGTGGTCTTTCCAGGGTGCCACTTGAAGGGAATACATTAATAAAAAGAAGGGGAAGGAAAGGACACATAAATAAAGAAAAGCAAAATGGATGACATGATGCAGCAGGCTATGGATCAGGGGTCAGCAAACAAGGGGTCTTTCTCTTTACAGGTTGCTTCCTGGAAACAGTCTGATTAAGCTGACAGCTTGAATTATGTGTTACATTTTGTAATGCACAATCCATCTGTGCTAAGTCCTCTTGAATGCAGCTGAAGCAACACAAGCAAAAGGTCTCTGCCTTGTTCCTTCTTAAACCTAAGCTTGAAATACTCATTATTTTCCTAAGTGCTAAGTCGAAGAGTCTGGACTTGCTAAGGCTCTAAATGAAGCACAGGTTAGTGATGGGAACAAACAAAATGTAAAACAAGATTTTCCCTCAGTTTGACAACTGACACATGAAAATTTTGAAAGATCATACACAATTTAATAGATTATTCATTGATTTATTTCCCTGGTAGTATCAATATTAATAGGCCAATGGCTACATGGTAGCATGATACTAATAAATTCTCATAAGATATCATTATGATGCTTGTTGCTAGTTCCACTCTTAAATTTTAAAATAAAAATGTGGTGGTAGGGTAGGATTCAGATGGATCAATAGAGACACCTATGAAAACTGGTGGCAGAATTTTAAAAACACATATGGCAAAATCCCAGTGAACAAGCAGAGATACAAGATTCAGAGAGATTCAGTTTAGAGAGATTTAATTACAATTCAGTATATTGTTAATGCTGCTTTAAGGACTTACCAGTAAATGGCCTAGTCCAATACCTAATTACAATCTTAAATAGTACCGACTAGGGGGGGATGCATATTTACAATATGTAAAATTATAACAACTTACATGAAGTGTTACTGTCACTTGCAACAGCACACCATTTCAATTAACACAGAGACAATATAATAAAGGTTATACAGGTAGTCCTTGATTTATGACCACAATTGGGACCAGAATTTTCAGTGCTAAGCAGGATGGTTGTTTAGTGAGTTGTACTCAATTTTAGAACTTTTTAGCCATGGTTGTTAAGCAAACCACTGCAGTTGTCAAGCAAATTACTTGTTTTTAAGCAAATCTGACTTCTTCCATTGACTTTGCTTTTTAAAGGCTGGCTGGGAAGGACACAAAAGGTGATCACATGATCCCAAGATGCTGCAACCATTGTAAGCACTTGTTACACTTGCTGTAAATGCCTGAATTTTGATGGTGGTAAATGCGAGAACCAGTCATTAAGTCCCATTTTTCAATGCCATTGTAACTTCGAATAGTTGCCAAACAAATGGTTGTAAATTGAGGACTAGCTGTATATAATAAAAGCTACATATATAAACGTGTTATTTTTATTTCTAAATGATATCTAGAAAAATGTAAAATACTAATTAAACTATGTTCTTAACATCTCGAAAATTAATCAATTCTTTAATTACATTCAACCTTATTTCATAAATACATTTATTTATTCCATTTACATCTTGATGCAATCCAAAATGACTCTTGGCATGTCTGTCACAGTGATTCAATTATGACGAATGAGATTTAACTACGATTTAAGGAAGATGACATCCTGTAGTGTATACTATTAATATTTTCAACTCCCTCATAACAAATCAGAAGTTGCTTGTCAACACATTATCTTGCAAACACAATTTAAAAGGGTCAGAAAAGAAGAAAAAAATATAACTAGCAAGTAATTATAAAGGATAAAAATATACAGTAGTCCCAGACTAGGTTTCATATCAACTCTAAATATATTTAACTGCTCAGATTTAATGTGATGTTATGAAATAACAATGTATTGGTTCTAGAAAATTTGTAAAGAAGTATTTAGAAGAAAGACAGAGAAACTATTATTACTGTATGCAGGGGAGTTAGGGTACAGGACAGGTATTTAAAAAAACCCAATAAAACAAACAAGAGAAAAATGTGACTATTACCCACATAAAGATTCAGAATCTTTATAGATGGAAAAGCACTATCTTAACCCACCCCAAACTGGATAACTATCTGAGTAGTTGTGTTAAGCTAAATTTAGGAAAACAGTATAATTTTAATTTTGGTATCTCTTTGCTACTTTTAATGGCTTTCTATATAGTGGAAAGGAAAAACTGATTAATTGTTCATGATAGTTCCATATCTGCTAAAAAGTGAAAGTGTTAACATAAGAGACTGAGATTTGCTACATTGGGTGACACCTTGAATTAAATAGGCAGGCATACTTCCATTACACTGATCAATAGGAAGAAAAAAATCCATACCAGTTGAAAGGAATGGATACTATAGGGCATATATCATCTCTTATAAGGCATAGATATCTATCCTGTGCAATCATCTAGAGAGGACATATCAACAATACTGGCTCTGGTGCAAAGTGAGGAAAACAGCAGCCAGAAGACGGACCTTCTCAGTGATTGCCCCTACATTATGAAATATACTCCCAGAGGTACACCTAGTCGAACATCAACATTTTCTTTAACATTTATTTCTTTAAATAAGTATTTACCAACTAATACCTAAATGTTGGATCATCTAGATGTTGGTCTTATACTAATATTATTATGTTTAACTTATCTTTTAATTTTTAATTGTGAGGTATATTTTTAGACACCTCTTTTATTATTACTGTGCGCTACTTAAAATTGTAAAATGAGCAGATATAAAAATAAACAAAACAAATACAAGTGAACATTACTGGTTTAGTTTTACCTTAGGTCGGGGCCAGAAGATGAGTGTTCAGTTGAAAAAAAGATTTGAGAATATTCTTCATTATTACATATTATGTTGTCAAGTTTGCAATCTGTACTGTTTAGATTTTGTTGTAGTTTCAAATAATTTGATTCCTCTTCCTCTTCACTCACTGAAACAGTAAGATCAGTGCTGCCACTTAAACTTTTATCTTCCTCCTGCAGTATATTTTTGTCCAAGTTCATGGTGCTCCCCAAAACTGTAACAAAAATGTTTTTTTAATGATTAAATCTAAATATTTATTTATAAACAATTATAATAATGTTCTGAACCTGACTAGATTATTATTATAAGGCAAAAAGACTATTTTTAATGTGTTTCCAAAAAAATAAAATAAAATAAAACAAGACTAATCTGCCCAAAGAAAACCACCCACCATTATAAATTTAGGACAAACTATCTCACAATATCATATGGAGGAATATTTTAGAAAACAATACCACCTTTTAAAATTCTATGTAGAAATTCCCACAATACTTGGAAAGAATATCAAGAGAATAACATTGTAAAAGAAACAGAATATTTTCTTGCAGCTTAATAAGATTAATTTCTACCCTCCATTTTAAATTATATCCATTCTGAATTCTCCTAGAAAGAACCTAAAAATGAAATTGCAATTCTTCAATCAGCAGAACTATAGCTGTTTCACTAAGATTTCATGAGACAAGAAATGCTTACTTTTAAAAAATTTAACAAAAACCTAACTTTAAATCTTGTCATAAACAAGACTGATTTACTGTATGTGCCAAACAAAATACACATCTAATATCAGAGGTATGGAACCATTAGATATTTAGAAAGGCCAAGTAACTATGTATTTCACCTGAATAATACTGTATTTGGAAAGGTCTTTGATTATGCTCTGTTACACCTTTATATACTCCTTTAAATAATAAAGAAAACAAAAGAAACACCTCTGTGGCTGAGTTCTCAGAAAACAATTCCAAATAAAGCAAGGTCACAAATAAACCAAACATAATGTAAACAGTACAGTAGTTCCTAACTGCATTCCTATTATCGTTTGCTTTTCAAAAAGTAGATCCTACAGTTATGGGACAAGATCATCAAAAATACAGCTGAAAGATAGCTTTCTTCCTTTTCTTTATAAGCTCTGAAGGTATATCATTTTTATACCTGGGGATTTTCCTTCTGAGCACTCATTGGCAGAAACAAGTATGCCGGGATCACCGCTCAACGAGATTGGCTCTTTAATTCCTTGTTCATATTGTAAAGAATGTTCACCGATCAATGATTTGCAGGAACTGTAACTTTTCAAACTGGTGGATCTGTTCTCAGAACTTAATTTTCTGTGTAGCAGAGATTTAGGTTCAGGGTGGACATTGTTTTCCACAAAATTATTGCTGTCATTATTTGCTATACTTTCCCCTGTTAAAGTAGTTCTTTCATTCTCATACGATACACTGGATGTGACTGGCATTTCTTCACCTTTCAGCAGAGATGTCTTCCCATCTATTTTGTCAGACTTATTTGAGTACTGTAGATCACTATTAGTTTGAACTACACAGCTGTCTGTCATATAGCAGCTCTGTGATGGTTGTCTATAGGAATGTGGGTCAGAAATTGAAAAGCCCTTTGTGAGTTTAGACTTCTGCAGTGCACTGAAATCTTCAACGCTTGAGACAGCTGACATTTGGCGGCCCATAAAGATAGTTGCTGTATGATATAGTCCTCTTGACATGGCTGTCCTAGCATTTATTCCTGACTGCCTTGCTTCTGGAATCATCTGAAAAACAGTTGGAAATCAAGAAAATATTTTCTATTTTTTTTATTATTATTATTATTATTATTATTATTATTATTATTATTATTATTATTATTATAGTAGATAGGATTTATTTAAAAAATACACCTTTTAAAAAATGATTAATAATAATGCATTAAACTTCTATGCCATCAGATTCTCAAAGACTCTGGGTGGCTCACAAAAAAAGTACAATAAAACATTTTTTAAAAAAAAGATGGCAAGGGCGATGAAGTAAGGGCTGTCCACGCCACTGAACACAAGCAGTATACAGCAATGCAACATGTATTGTCAGGTTAAGTTTCATATGTGCTCTGAAGGGGTTAGCAACATAGCTAGCAGTAGGTCAGCACACATTTATTGTCTGACAAAGCACTACCTGGAAGAAATTTACACTAGAGATGTACACATTATTCCAAGCAAAAAAAGTTTCAAGTTCAGTAGTTTTGACTCATACTTACAACAAAACCTGGTTATTTTGAAAATTATTATTTCAATTTGCAAGTTCTGTGATTGTTCTGTTATTCTGGGGTTTAGTTATCTTTCTTTCTCACGCCCGAATAACAGCAGTGGCTAGTTAAATTAGAAGTGATAAGGAATGCCAACATGCTGGGGTGGGGAAATAATGTTAGAAGGCCAGTTTGGGATTTGGCTTTAATACTACAGAGGGAGGACCAGAATATAGTAACTAACCAATTCACACTGACTAATCTGCTGAGATTCACAGAATGCTTTAAGAACCTCCCCATAGCAATATTTTTGCAATGGTAACTTTGCTTAGTTTTAAGGCAGCATAAGGCTTCACTAGTTAGAGAAACAAAAAAGACTGCCCTTTCCCTCCCTGGGTTTTCAGTTCAACAAATGATAGAATTAAGTGTTAGAGATCCTTAGTCTGAAATCTTCTCTGGTATAGGAATCCAGGACTCACCCTTTAAAGTTAAAACACCTTTTCCCCTCTCCTTCAATATGAAAAAAAAGTTTGCTTTAATTAGAGAAAATTAATTCTTCCAATGAGATATGTGTACCAGGTCGATAGCACAACAATACTTGCTGGGTTGCACATGTATACATGCACATACATTATTAGACTGCTTTCATTTTAAATCAAACTTCACATTTTTGGCTTAATCCTCTTCCCAGCCTCATGATCTAGAAAGGCAGAGGGACAACTGAGAGGGACAGAGCAAGAAGACAAGGGCTTATTGATCAAGAGAGGTAGAACCATCACTCAAGTGTCCTTAACATTGCTGCAGTATGCAAACTCTCCAGCTGACTAGTAGTAGGGTACCTTAAGCAGAACAAAATACTGCTTTAGTGAGTGAAGCAATACTGGTATGCAAACACAATACTTTAAAGGCATGCTATTGCACAGGTAATTGACTTTACATAACCAGGAAAAGTAGCATTGCTCAATTCCGGCATCTCTTATGGATACTTTCTTCCACTGCAAAATTGTTATATCTTCAGCGAGCAAGTCTGCATGGAAGACGTTGGAATTAGTGTTAGCAAAAGGACCCCAATAAGCATGCACTGCATTCCAGACACATAGCTTACTTGAAGATGAGTTCATGCCTTTTACCTCTTTTCACTTTGAACTGGTGCAGTAGTTACACACAAGAATGAAGAACTTCAGTTACTTACATGAGGAGGATATAACTATGATGCATTGCACTGAGAAGTTGCTATCAGGGTGGCTAAATTATATAGCTTCAAGATCACAAACAATGGAAACAATGTCTATATAGTAGTTATCATCCATTGATAGCTGCGTTGCCTCCAAACAGCAAATGAATAGGATGGTCTTGGCAGGATGGAAACCAACATAAAAATTACCCCTTTGGCACCATGACCATTGTCAGCTTTCATATGGCTATACGAATATTACTCCAGCACCTCATCCCCCAGGAGGCCATCGTACATTGGAACTCTATCTAATGTTGGCACTGCTTGATCATATCCAATCAACCAAATGTATTAGACAAGTGTTCTGGAAATCCATACAGGTAATTTTTGACATATGACTTTAATGGAGCCTGCCTGTTAAAGTCGTAAGTCATGTCAATCAGTCATGACCAACCAATTTCTTTTTGCCACAGTTGTTAAGCAAATACCACAATTGTTTAGCAAACCCATTGTTCACTGTGGGGCTTTTTTTTTTTTTTTTTTGGCCGAAAAGTGGAACTAATCGCTGTTGTCAGAAAAAATGTCAGAAATTGCAGTCACATGATCACAGGATGCTGTAAATGGCTGTAAAAACAGGCTGGTTGCCAAGTGCCTGAAATGCCTATGGTTGCCAAGTGCCTGTGGTCACATAACAATGGGGGAAGGGGGGAGGAGCCAGCAGAACTTTGGAACTGTATTGTAAGTACCTGGGGGGGGGGTTCCTATCGTAACTTCAACGGTCACTAAGTGACTAGTTTAAGTTGAGAGCTACCTGTATACAGCCAATAGACCTTTCTGATCCTTGGATAATCTTGTTAACTTCAACTTTAGTGTCTTGCTTATGTTGAGCTTCAGGTGGATTTAAAATGAAAACAAATCAGCACTAGCTTGGTTGATTTGTTTAGTTTTGATATACATGTGTAGTTTTCTGCATGATCTTGCATTCTATTAACTTTGAGTTCTGATTGCATTTAAAAATGAAAAGTCACTTCAACACATATGATAGGGCTATGCTGAATTTACTAAATGATCTTGCATAGTCCTAATATGTAAACAGCTCTGCCTAGTGTCTAGAGCTCAAGCTGCAGAGGAAGAATGATCAAATTCTATCTACCTATGCTTACAGAAGTGTTTTTGTTTCTATATGCTGTCGTTTGAATCCTAGCCAGCATTTGTAAAAGCTATCATCCTCCTATAGAGGATTAATAAATTTAAAATGAACAGTGAAAGATCACAAACAATTTGCAGTATAATACTATAATAATCGTAAAGTACTCTATTGCTTTTCGATATCTAATGTAAAATATTTAAAATAAAAACCATTCAGATAAATATTTTAGGTGTCATTATATAAAAATTGACACAGGGAAAATTAGTATTTTGGAATTCTATCCATATTGTTTCATAAATATATGAACAAAATGAATGTTTATATTATACAAGTCTACTTATCTAGGTCAAGGTTGGTGAAGCTCTTTGCTCTGTATATAAGGAAGAATTGTCTAAATTCAAGGTTTCAACACCTTTTTAATCTACAACCAGGAAAAAAGAAATCTTTAACCTCAGATTAACAACTGCTAATGCAACGAAGAAAACCTTCCTGCCACTATTAAACACATCTCCCCCTCACACACACATACACACACATGAAATAGTGTTGCCTCTGTTTCTTTCCTGATAAGAGTCTTAAATACCAAACAGTTAAATGCATAATAACATTTACTGGCAGCAAGACAGCCTGCTTAGCTGATACATAAAGCAGGTAAAAGGAGGAAAAGTTAATTTCTTGGCTGAATGATTCCATCGGTAGCTATAGGGCAAACTAGAAAGTCTTTCAGTAAAGTAGCAGTTGATTCTTCTATCAATCTGCAGCACACATACTCTTCCAAGGAATGCATTAAATATGAAAATCATATCCTGTTATCATCTGTTTCCAGCTTTCAGCCCAGTAAGCTTTCCTTAATGAATGTTGTAGCCTAAGGGACAAGCATGCTGTTGGCTTTTCTGAATAATGGAGTGATGCTACCCATTTTGGCTTATTACAATATCGACTAGCTGAGGGGGTTTCACATATAGTCACAAGTGACTACTCTTGCCAGCATGCTCCAAGTTATTACAAGATGTTTTTAGTCATTTCATCTAAAAGAGCTTTCCTGCTTTTAGGGAAGAAAAACAGTTCTGGTCTTGAACTATATCATTTATATGGAGATAGGAGGGGGGATTAGAAGGCTGCATTACCACAGATATATAGCAGAATATATCTGAGTATTACTTGTCGGCTTTGTCCGTGGTTTAGGTATGCAATCTTTGCTTTTTAGAGGGAAAATAAAGGTCAAAATGTATGAAATTATAAATTCAACATATTTCAATTAAAATTTACAAGACTTTGCCACACTATTTTGAGTCTAGAACTTAAGAATGCTAGATGAATAGTACTAAGAAGTGAGGGTTTCAATTCCTGTTTATTAATTTCACAATGCTTTTGCTTCTTACCTAAAATCATATTGTTTAAATGGCATGTGAGAACAGCAACACAAGCTTTACAACCATTTTTTTTAAAAAAATGCAAAAACCTTCTCAATTAAGATAGTGTCTACAATCAATCAGTACCTTCTATTCCACTGATTCAAAAAGAAATATAAACATGCCTGAATTTTCCCATTAAAATAATTGGAAATAAAAAACAAGGAAAAATAAGGAATACAAACTAAAAAGAAAGAAAAAATTAAATAAGAAAAATTGTCTTACATGCCTTAAGAATTTTTACATACCTGATGTTCAGTAGCATCTCTCATTTCGTGTTTTAACATATCTTTTTTCTCAACTAACAGCCTATTTTTAATTTCTTTTTCATACTCTGCCTAGTATATGGAGAGATTATAAATAATCATTAAGCATTCAGGTTGTGATGTAGCCAAAGTTAAACAGATGTGTCACTGATTTCAGTGGAAACCAATTAAGCATATGTTTTACTTCTTCCTTTAAATTAAGTATTTTATATGATTGGATTGTTTTGATGTAGTAATATGTAGTATACAGTATAAAAAATTAACATGTTTAAAAGCATTCTGAATAACATTCTTATTTAAATATTCTACATACATTAATTTTAATCATATTGAATACTACATTTACCCTAAAATGTAAGATGTTATTAATATGAGATGATTAACCAGAAACAAAATTCACATGCCTCCATTACCATATTCTCACAAATTTAAGATAACTCTCCAATTTTAAAGTTAATTTATTTGGAAAATAACTAAGCTTACATTCAGATAAATACAGTATATAAAATGGTTCCAAAGCTAAAGTAATGTAAATGCTTCCATTTTATTTAAAATCAATTATACTAGTTAATTCAAGTTTTTCATTAGTTCTTCATATCTTCTAAAGAAGTAGCCATAGCCAATCTATATGTAATTACACTCTTTTACATAAGAATTATCTAAAATTACACAAAAAGTTTTAGAACTTTGTTAATTGCTTCTTCCTTTTGAAACAAAATTCTTTGTTTTAGGTAGTATGTACATAATAGACTTTTCTTAGATTCAAAGTGCATAAGAATTATGAATTAAAATGTGTATATTTGGCAAAAGGCATCAAAGGTGATGATGCAGTAACTTCAATATAAGACCTTCTAAAACATAATGAGCATTTGAGAATGATTTAATAGCTATTAAAAATCACATGCTGCACATGGAGTAGCACAGAATCACAAGAATTTGAAATAAAATGAAATGTCAAGAAGTATTTTCAGTATATTCTTTTAGATCCTGTTTCACTGATATCACAATCAAATTGCATATTTAACAATTAAAGTTCAGGTACATAAATAATGTTGCAATAGATATTCAGGACCCTTAAGATCTCCAGCCCTATCTCATTTCCAAAGCTTTAAAAAGATGAAAATAGCAGCCTACTGCTATCCTTACCTATCAATTTATGTCACGTAAGATTTCCTGAATAGGCAAGTTAGGCTCCTTCAAAGTTAGTTATTTATTACAGATAGAACACAACATACCTTTAGCTTTTGAAGGGACTCTGATCTTGAAGCAAACTTCCTAATGTGAGCTTCAATGCAATCAAATTCTTTTAATAAATCTTGGTTTCGGAGCAGAGATTTCTTCTGCCGTTCACATATTTCATTTAAATATTTTTTTAGATTTGTGTATTTCAATTTAGTTCTACAGAGAAACAAAAAATCAACCATAAACTGTACCAGCTTATTTTTGTAAAGAGAAACATTTTTAAATATACACAGCATTATCAAAGAATATTTAAAGTTAATGGTAGACAGAACTATAAAAACGAATCCTAATCAATGTTGGGGTGTTATTCCTTTTTACTTTAAATGTACAAATTTACTTCTTCAATAGCACATTCAAGACAATAATTTAAAATTTCTCCAACAAAGTATAATCCAGTTATAATCTGAGTGTATATGCTGCCCAAGATCATTTCACTTGTCCCTCCCTTTTGTTTGCTTGTTCAAGGAACAAAAACACCATTGCAAACAGGGGTAGGTCTAAATGAATAATCTCTGTAGTAGTCAAATTATACATGCATTAGCCAGACTCCTAAAATAGTATTTGGAGATGATAAAAATTAAATACACTTTCTTCCTTTGATCCTTTCAACCCAAAATTTCTACAGAACATACTGGTTAGCATCCATCTACTATTATCAAAAAGAGTAGTTATTACATCTTTCACACAAGGTGTTTTGGATTGCTTAAGAGCAATGCAAAACATTTTTAAACTATTAAATTCCTGCATTTTTTCCCAAGCTCACAAAGCTGCTTCAGAAACTGCTTCTGTGATTCTGCATAGTGACATGTGAGCCTGTGAAAAAGACATGGTAGCTTTACCAATTCAAAAAGAGATGTTTTATATCTTTTCTCCACACATTTCAAGGAGCCTCTTTCAAAAAATTTGCATAGACTCGCTCTGAACCATTCAGTATTCTGCAGCTTTTGGTTCTATATCTGGAGATGGGCATATCATATGCTATGCTTCCTTAGGGCAGGTTGCAGTTCATCACAGCAAAGAAAATACTTATTAAATAGTCATTAAAATATATGCATGCCAGAAGAAAGGTATAACTTTAAAAAAGAATGGGGAATCAAGGGAAACATCCAATGTCAGTGGTTTAAGTTATGTTTGGGCAAGGAAAGTTAAATTTCTATCCAGAATTATAGCCATTGGAATCCTGTAAGTATCTGATTCCCAAATTAAGATTCTGCCTACCTTCTAAAAAGTTTTAACAATACTGTAGTCTTTATTTTAAAGAAAGACTCTAGAAATATCAGGAAAGTAGGCTATTAGTATTCTAGGCAAGTGGTCAGCACAATATATTTGCTATACTATTTCTGCTTATTGTATTCATTCATTCATTCAATTTCTGTAGCCGCCCAACTCAACCAAATGACTCTGGGAGGCTTACAATTCTAAAATTCTGAAGTAATTAAAACAATTTAAAATAATAAAAACAATAAAAACATCAACAAAATAAATAAACAGCAGTTATGATGATTAATCAACTAATAGTAAAGCAAAAAACAGGACCCTTAACATCTTCCGAGCCCTGGGTACATAACCCAGGTACATAGCCAAGTTTTTAAATCTTTGCACAATGCCAATATGGTTGGCGCCATTCTAATCTTTGAGGGGATAATATTCCATAAGGCAGGGGCTTCTACCAGTCAACACTTTGGCTGACAGGATCTGCAGCATGCCCAATCTGGATCAGAAACTCTTGGAAAAAAACAGTCCTTCAGGTAAGCCAGTCCCAAGCCATATGGGGCTTTAAAGGTTACAACCAGCACCTTGAATTGCACCCAGATTTAGAGGTCCAATTGATAACATGAGACATGCTTTCTTCTGAATTGTTGAATTGCATATTCTTCATTTTTCCATACAATTAATTTCAAACATAGTGGCTGACAAAAAAATATTACTATTTTTCTACATCATCTGGTCTATTTCTATCAGTAGTGACCTAGATTTAGGTTTTGCTTTCCCTAGGTGCCTTCTCTCCAGTTATGTTCCCCATTCCAATTTTCAATATATATGCATCCATAAAAATATAATTATATATGCCAATCAGATGTAATGAATCATACTGTTCAATAAATTTTAAACATCAATATTTCCATACTATACATTACATAATAATACATAGTAAAACTAATACAACTACATATTGATTTAAAAAGCTTACATGGAAGTATCAGGTGTGCTGTATTCAAGCATTTTTCTTTCCAATTCCACCCTCTTTGATTCACTAAAACAAACATAGAATGAAGTTACTGAATCTTCTATATACCATAAATAATTTTACAGTATGCAAAGAGAAACTATATAGCATTGTAAGGCTTCCAGAGTTTTGGGAGTTGTGTGATATATAAATTTATATATCCCAAATATTGATATATTACAATTCTTATTTAGACAAGATTACAGTGTTATTAGAGGTCACAATGT